CATGGACATCGTCTACAAGTACTACTTCAGAGCCAAGCGCAGTGTGGCAGGTTTGCCTACATCACAGCGCATGCAATGGCTCCAGGCCAAAGACGTGGAGGAACGCAGTGAGTGGGTGTCCAAATTTCGTGAGTCTACGATGAGCTTGGGACAGGTGATCAGCGAGATCTACACGTCCAGGGACGCACATTGGTCTGCACCAGGGCCCGCTACCCCGGACAGGAAGAGTGCAGCCCCCACCGCAGCCTCTACTGCAAGTCCATCTAAGGTGCCGCCAAGCACATCACCCTTGAAGTTGGGCAAGCCGATCAATGGCAAACCCGTGGCGACGGCAATGAAGGATGGTACCAAACTTTGCCCGCAATTTCAACGAGGCGGCTGTAAGGCCAAACCATGTCCTCAGGGAGCCCATCGATGCGGAGCAGTTGTCAGAAAAGATCGGGTATGTGGAGCGTTCAACCATGGTGCAGCCAATTGCACTGGTAAGCGTTGACACGCCCCAGAAGAGGAGGCGGCTGCCTCTTTTGGGTCAGATGAGCTAGAGCCGCAAGAGGGGCGACCGCTTATGGCAGATCTCATGGCAGGTCCCAACGCACCCCTCACCAAAGCATTCATCAGTTGCGGGTGGCAATGCATTACAGTGGATTGGTTGTTGGATGACAGCCATGACCTGTCAGATGAGCGCCGGCAACACTCCCTGAGCAAACAGCTTGGAGAGGTGATCTTCATAGCGGCAGCTATCGACTGTTCGACAAAGAGCAGGGCCAGGGAGATCCCCAGGAAGTTTGAAGACGGGGGGCAGCCCCTGGTCCTCTTCGATCCGAGGTCTACCCTGATGGCCTGCCTCACCTCAACAGCCGGGATGCCCAAAGAGTCGACCTTGACAACAAAGCCTGCAACTATGTCTTGGGCGAAATTCAGAAGTTGCGGGATAGGGGGGGAGGCAGTGTGCGTGAAAACCCTGCCCGCTCCTTGCACTGGTGGACGTCCACAGAGGTGACTATGTGGGAATCGGGACAATGGTTCGACACAGCCTACGCGGCATGTACTTTGGGTGGGGCGCGTTGCAAGCATCAAGTGCTACGACACAATGTGGAGGAGATCCAACGCTGGCCCCCAGCCAATTGCCACCATGTGCACGACCCACAGGAATGGACCCCCTACACCTCCGACGGCCAGCGGTTCTACCCATCCAAAGAAGAGGCAGAGTACACAGCAGTCCTTGCCTTTGCCATTGCAGTGTCGGCTAGTTGGTGGGCAGTCCGCACAGGTCTAGCCGTCCTGCATGTCCCACGCATGCCCACGTTCATGTCAGTCGGACGCCGTGAACATTGGCTGGATATGGACCCGCGCGCAATGCGGGAGTGGGCAATGTCACCACTGGCGGTGACGCTGGGCCTCACAGAATCCTTGAGGGCTGAACGATCGGGGTTACCGGTCCGAAGGCTCGTCAAGGAGGTGATGATCGAAAACAACAAGCTACCACGCAAGACCATCTACGTCGGCCGAGGCAGCTTTCATCATCGCCTATCGACGACCAAGTGGAAATCGCCATGGACACCGGGCCACAACTGCGAAGCCGGTGAATGGCCGGCCAGGTACATTGTCCATATTCGAACATCACCTTTGTGGGACGCCTTGCATGAGCTTAGCAATATGGAGCTGGCGTGCGACTGCCCCATGGAGCACCTGTGCGAAGCGGACATGCTCATTGGCCTCTTCTTCGATGCCACCGCCCCTGGGGGTGACCCAATGCAGCGGGGCACCGATGGCCGATGGAGTAGGACTGTGGCATTGTTGCAAGGGATCCAGGCTATTCCCAGGGGGGTAGCCCTACCCATGATGAGCCAAGAAGCACTGGTATTGGCATTCCAAAAGCTTTTCCCCGAGCACTGGTTCAAGAACTACAAGTTTGCAATGATTGAAGACCTCATCAACAGCCCGCCCTTCTGCTCATATGCCACTTGGCTTGCAGAGCGAGGAGAAGCTTGGGACGGGCCCCTAGTCCCGCATCTGGCTGCCGGGTCAGTGAGGCAGCTTGCACGGATTGGGGACGGGTGCCAAGTGGGTGCGATGACACACCGTGCCGCTTTGCCCCCACTGCTGCCGTTCAACTTGGATCCTGAGGACCACTTCAACCAAGCAGTCCAACGAGCCCAGCACCCGTTGCCCTACGAAGACCTCCCAGTCGTCGACTTAGACCTGGAGTTCGTAGCAGATGCCTATGGGGCACATGGCCAGCAGTTGCGCCCGTGGCGACAGCAGGCAGTCGGGGCCATGCGAGAGCTGAAGAGACGCTGGGAGGGGGTGACCCTCCACTTGCGATCCTTCCAAGAGCCGGCTATCCAGCAGGTAACACGGCACCGCGATGTGGGGCTCATCGCATTGCTGATGCTGCTGACATCATGGGCAGACACCAGCTTTCCCTATGGTCTGATCCGTGGGCTGCCTGCAGTGGGCTACGCACCACCTTATGGGATATTCCCCCAACAGCCAGCTGAGGTGATCAGCATGGCAGATGTGTTGGAGGGATGGCAGGAACACAATCAGCACATCTTGAGCCAGCTGAGAGCAGGCAAGGATGATGAGTTCCTCCTGCAGCAGTCATTAGAGGACGCAGCGAATGGTTTCTGCACAGAGCCCTTGCGACGGACAGATTTCCTGCGGGCCATTGGCAACAAGGCCCATCGATTGATCCCGCGTTGCGTGATCACACAGAGCTCAGGCAAGCAGCGTGTGATCGACAATGGGGACACCGGAGGACAATCAGCCTTGTCGTCTGATGCTAACAAGCTCACATTGTGCAGTCCATTGCGTCCTGCCCAGCACATTCGCCTTGCAATGCATCGTTGGACAGAGGATGAGATAGCCGATTTCTTCGCGAACGATGCTTGGGAAACAGGACAAGAAGATCTGCCTTCAGCATACAGGTATTGCCCTATGGCATTGCAGGAAAGTCTGGGCTGCGTGGTGGTGTGGTACCATCACGAATGGCAAACCCCTGCATACCAGGTCTACGCTGGGCTACTCTTCGGACTGCCGCTGGCGGTGACATCATTCAACCGTTTTTCCAGACTATTGGAGGCACTAGCCAGGCGTTTTTGCCGAGTTTTGACCTCCCTGTACTTTGATGATGCGACCATTACAGACTTGCAATCCTCAAAAGGGTCAGGCCAATGGGCCATGAATCAATTGTGTTCTCTTATCGGCTCCCCCTTCGCAGAGGACAAGAAACAACCAATGCAGAGCACCGGAACCTTTTTGGGATTGACTCATGATCTCAGCTCCATCAACCAAACAGGGCATGTACAGTTTTGGGCTCGAGAACGGCTCCATGACAAAGTACGTGACATGTTGGCAACAGCCAGGGTGACTGGCCATTTTAGCCGAGGGGCAGCATCGAAGCTGTACGGCTTGGCCAATTTCCTGGAACAGGGAATCTACGGTCGAGTGGGATATGGCGGCCTCATGGCCATCAAAGCCAGGCAAGACGAGACAACCTCGACCATCACTCCCGAGATTGAAGCATGCTTCGAGGGTGATCGAAGCGGTTATGCGCTTTCAGCCAAAGCGGGAATTTCCCGTTCTGCACCTGGATCATCTGCGCTTTTTGGCAGCCTCCGACGCAGCTGTCGAAGCAGACAATCCTGGTTCAGGAGGTTTTCATCTGATCTTTTTCCAGCCTGACGGATCACAAATTCGTCACAGTTTTGTCGCGACCAACTGTGCAGAGCTCCGAACACTTTGGCAACCTGCAGAGACGCATATCGCCCAATTGGAACTATCTATGGTGCTCTACGCCCTTGTCGAAAGGCCTGATCTGTTTCGAAACCGACACGGCCTATGGTTTTTGGACAACGTAGCAGCCGTCATGACGCTAGTGAGAGGACGTTCTAGCAATGCCGACTTAGCGAAGCTAGGTCATTTGATCCATCTAGCTCTGTTTGCACTGCGAGCCCAAGGATATTGGGAGTACGTCCAGAGCAAGAGCAACTGGGCTGACGATATCAGCCGACTTGGCGTCGATGATCCATGGTGGCGATGCCATGGTTTTGAATTTTACTCGTCGTACCTCCCTACAATCTTGTTCCAGCTACCCTTTGCAGCTGTCATTCTCACCTTCGAATACCTTTAGTGCTTTGGGAATTGAGTGCATTGGGTGATTCCTGCAGAGCAGGTTCCAGCCTGGGTTGCCAGGCAGCTGACCAGTGGCGAAACTGGTCTGGGGCTATGTACGTGTCACATCGTGACAACCCAAAGCAAACCTGAGGATTGCAGGTGAGATTGACTGAGCATAGGCATAGCTGTGGAAAAAGAAAGCTGCGGGAGCGCGAGACAGTATCTGTTTCATATGACACTTTGAGATGTACCCATGCATTGAGTTTGGCAGGCTTGGGTGTGCATGTATCATCTTTAAGTGTTTCAATGAATGCTATCATTTTGGCTCAAGTAAACTTGAACCAAAATAGCATTCATTGCTGTTTTCTTTCCCCACCCTCCCAACCCTAAGAGCCGACCTCCCGTGGAGATGTCCGCCTAGGTTAGGGGAGCCTGCAAGGCAGGCGAGTCCATAGCCTCTATCGGGGATCCTCTCTTGGGGTGACCAAGAGAGTTTTTCCTTCCCTTAGGTTTAAGGGATGGGTGATTCCTGCAGAGCAGGTTCCAGCCTGGGTTGCCAGGCAGCTGACCAGTGGCGAAACTGGTCTGGGGCTATGTACGTGTCACATCGTGACAACCCAAAGCAAACCTGAGGATTGCAGGTGAGATTGACTGAGCATAGGCATAGCTGTGGAAAAAGAAAGCTGCGGGAGCGCGAGACAGTATCTGTTTCATATGACACTTTGAGATGTATATATGTACATGTATATAATCATATATATATATAATCATATACATACATAAACATATATATCATATATGAAGTTATTCTTTATGAATAGATGTAAACATTTAAATGTGACGACACATATCCAACGCGGTCCTTGGTCTCAACTTCTAAGGCTTGTCCAATGGGTCGTGGGCGGCGCCATTGAGCTGGTCTGGGGTCTTGTTTTTCGGCGCAGCGGTCACCTGGGTCTGTCTCCATAAATGGGGGGGGTTCCATCAATGGTTAATCTATGGTCAATAATGGTTAATATATGGTTAATCATGGTTAATCTATGGTTAAGAATGGTTAATAATGGTTAATCTATGGTTAATAATGGTTAATATGTGGTGAATGTACTGTTGATAATGGGTTAATATATGGTCAATATATGGTTAATAATGGTTCATAATGGGTGATCATGGGTTTCCATAGTCATGGGGGTACCCCAACAGCTGGACGGTTTACAAGGGAAAATCCATCCAAAAATGGATGATTTAGGGGTACCCCCACTTATGGAACCCCCCAATGGCACTTTTTAGAGGAAAGATGTTACAGTAATTAACCAATGGATTTAGAGGTACATAGAGGTACCCTGCAGACAAACCCACATAGATGGTTTGGATTCATATTGATCAAGAGTCACGAAGGTATGAAGTCTAGCTCAAAACTTAAGGCATATTCAAGATCTATCAAGAAACATAGACCATGACTAACAAATACTCAGAGATATGAAATTGGTTACTGTATTCATGGTCAATCATACAGTTGAGAACTTTTGAGATCATGCACATTTTGAAGCCATTGGAACAAGGAATCTATACGGACCCCATTTAAGGATGAACCAATACTTTATCCTTACTAGTTTGCCCATGTATGGTAGAATTGTGGTTTTTGACCAATTTTGATCCACTTGAGGGTTTGCAAGCATCACCATAGGGATTGGTCAAGACCTATCAGAATGGGGATCGATATTTGCTTGCTTGTTCTTCTTGATGTTTGGCAAGCTACCGTGGTTTTGTCCCGGGGTTCTTAATTGGATTTGCTTGAGCCGCTTGGGTGGGTTGAAATTGTTGCCTTGTGCCACTCAAAAACGTTGATTGTTTGATATGTGTTGACATTCAGTAGGCTGCTTGGGGGCATAGTGTTGGTGGTTATGCAACAGTCTTTGCTGAATGTGGTCTGTTCGAAGGAAAAGTGAACTCTTGCGTATGACACATAACAAGCATCCAAGCCGTTTGGCCAATGACAACATGACCACACTTGAATACAGCGCATCGTCAAGTTGGTCTTACAAGCTCTTTAAATCACAAATAACGCAAAACAACCGATAACTTTCACATGATTAAATGGTATGCACAAACAATCTCTCACACACAGATGCGGACATGACTAAATGTGCAATATATATATATATATACACCCTCTGTTACTTTGTCGCATAGCTATGCAAAATCGCCATGGAATTCATGGGTAAATCTGGCCTATTCTTTTGTGGGCCATAGCTTCCACTTCCCAAAATGATCAACGGAGGATAATCCAATATTCAGATAATCCAGTATTCAATTCACACTTGCCTCAGCCAGCATTTATCAGACATATGACATATGAATACATATGAGTAGCCGCGGACGATATTTGATACATAACGCAATTGACAGGGTGATCCTACCTCGCTCTCCAGTCTCGTAGTGTTTTGTGGGGTCTGACCTTGTTTTTTTAATAGCAACATGCTTTACATGTGATGCCTACCTCATTCTCGGGGTGTTCCTACCCCGTTTTACAGCCGTTTTTTATGATGCCGGGGTACGCTCCAATACTCTCCATTTAACCCAGGTTTTTGTCCTTATTTTCCTAGCTATGAGATAGAAGAACATGAGTTTCATCTCCTTCTTGGCAACCCCAGAACTGGGCCATGTTGCTCTACCTCTTCTCCGGCCTCGGCGGTGCATTGCTGAGCCGCTGGGCGTGGAGCTTTGTGAAGGGATGACATGGTGCCAGCAACCCATAAAGGTGGATGTACAGTTGGAAACCTGAAAATGATGGAGGAGACATCATTCAACTACCCTCTGGTAATTTAACATAGCTATTGAAAATAACCATTATTATTGTTGATTTACCCATTGAAAATTGTGATTTTCCATAGTTATGTTGGTTTACCAGAGGGAAACGTCCTGAAAATCAGTTTCACACGTTTCGGTATCGTTTTTGGGGAACCTCGTTTTTGTGGAAAGTGGCCCATGCATAGATCATTGTTCTATTTCAAAAGTGCTTGGTGACCTTCTTAAAGATTCTGGGTCAAGCTGTGAAGTTGTTGCAAATGGGGGACGTAGTCGTGGTTACCAGAAGGGTATCGATGTATCTCAGATTAAGGGATATCCCAGATCTCAGTTATTTACTCATATTTCCTTACTGGTGCTTGGCAGGGAATGAGGGAATGATTCATAGTCACTAGTAATAATAATCCCATTCCCCCATTCCATTCCCTACTAAGCACCAGTAAGCTTCTGTCTGACAGGGTGCATCTCACATTAGCCAAACAAAATTAGGGCATGCCCCCCCAGAGGTGATGCTCATGTCCGGTTCGAATATCTATGAATAGTAGGGATCATATTGCTAGTCGCCATTGTCCAAAGAATATTCATGACTATACTGATAAGAACAATATGACATATATGAATCTTAATCAAACATAATCTAACCAGTATCAAATGTGTATGTTTGTATAAATATATATATATTTATTTATTTATGTATATACATGTGCAATATGGATTTCCAAGACCATGACACATATGAAATAATTACTACATAAGATAGAACTGAATCATCCAATCTTCCTTAAATGGATCAGAATCATATTTTTCTTCCCAAGCTCAATTTAAGGATATATAATGGTTGATTTCTGCAATCTTCCCAATCTCAATTTATCATTTTTCAGGGCGATGGATTTTTGAGTGTATACATATTATATATATATATATACTGTGTAAATATGTATTCTAGGCACGATGTACTATACAATATATGATGTTTTCCTTATGTTTTTGCCTAGACTTAGGCCCGCCAAGTGCCTCGAAAAATTGAAGTAACATGTCCGGAGGTCATCAAACGTGGCTAGCTGAAAACTCCCGGCACCAAATGGCGGTTTAGTTTGCTGTGAAAATCAAAATATAAATATGACTCAGATGGTGTATATATAATTATATGTTAATTATATATAATTATATATATTTATGTATATATATATACATTTAATTTATGGATGTATATTAATTTGACTCTAAAAATATCATATTTAACAACAATACCCAACTGATCCTTGGCCGCCTCTCAGGTGCCAGCCTCTCCTCAGCGGGCTCCCTGACGGTGGGCGCCAGCGGCTGCGTCCACGGCTTCCTGGCAGCCTGCGCGGCCGACAGCTCCGCCGCGCAGCTCTTGGCTTGGGCGCCACGGCGCAAGGAACTGCAAAAACCTGGGAAAAAGGTTGGAAAAACCAAGGAAAAACCATGGGAAACATGCGGAAATTTGCGCAAAACTGATAAAACATTGTGATTTGTTACATCAACAATCATCAACATTACGGAAATGCTGAATGAGAATGGGTCAAAACCTGGTATGTTCAATGTTTTTTTTGTTTGATTGACGATTTTTCATCATCCACAGATCGGGACCCTCGGGACCAAATGCGCAAGGTCCAAGGAGACCAGTTGGGGTACCCAATGACTTGACCCATAGTCAACTAGATGTAGCAGTTCTGATTGGTGGTGACTGGAACATGAATGGATTATGACTTTCCCATCATATTGGGAATGGAAAATCATCCCAACTGACGAACACTCCATGATTTTTCAGAGGGGTGGCGAAAAACCACCAACCAGATATGTTTGATATTTTTATGGGATAGAATAGGATAGATATTTATGGGATATAACTATTATACAACTGGGATAATGGAGTTTCAAAATTCAAATCCATGGAGTCGATTCAGTTCGCCCGGAACGGGAGCGGATGAATTTCTCTGGGACGCCAGGGCATTGACAGGTGACCGGGTCCCAAGTTTGGAGACCCCTTTTATGTACTGACATAGCCCCTGCTAATCAAAGGTGGCAATTTGACAAACCACCATTTATTTCGTTGATTTACCCATGAAAACCATTGATAAACCATTGAAAACCTCCATTTGCCACGTTTGATTACGAAAGGATAAGCTAACATTCAAAGAAACCCGGATATATTGATGTAATTTGTTGCTTTCTTGATGGGAATGTGTAGTGCTGGGTGAGCTTGTTGTGTTGCAACCTTCGACACTGTTGGACCTTCCAAGATTTGGTACAATATGTGCCATGTAGATAGACAATAATTGGATTGGATAGACAGACAGCCAGATAGATAGACAGGTGCATAGATAATTGGATAGATGCATATACTATGGAGAGAGAGAGAGAGAGATATATATATATATATACATAGATATATGCAGCTATACATAGGTAAATAGATGATTAGTTGGATACATAGATACAACATATGATTTACACATCTACTCACACACACATAAATATACATATGTAATAATATATATATATAGTATTTGTGAATGGTGGATGTTCACTCAAGGACAGGTTTTGAGAGCGTACTCTCTGACATTATCAAGACACGGTCATGAAAAATTTGTGTTCTACCAGTTGTAAATGATTTCTACCAGTTGTTCATATTAAATACCCCCATTCTATGGTCGCAGCTATGAGATTTGATCCCCTACACCAAGCATGGTGGCTCTGACAGTCTGAGGGGTGTTCCATTGCCCAGGCAGTCCCCGGTTCCTGCCAGCGTCGTTGCCGCTGTCGTCGGCAGGTTTTGGCTCCTTGGTGCTGTATTCCTGGTGCATCAGGTCTTTGTTTTGCTTTTTTTCTATGGAGGATTATGATGGAGTATGTTTAGTTTACCCTCTGGTAAACTAACATAGCTATTGAAAATGGCCATTTATAGTGAGTTTTCCCATTAAAAATGGTGATTTTCCATAGCTATTTTAGTTTACCAGAGGGTATACCATTTGATGTGCCCAACCCATTATTGAAGGTTGATATGTTATGTTTCCAGAACGCCATTAACGCATGTGTTTTTGTTGGCCCATTCCAGGAGAGATTGGCAGTTTTCTGTGCCGTAAAAATCACCAGCCCGTGGGTCCGAAGGCTTTCGATTCTCAATACCCATGTGGAACAATGGCCAAAACCCACAAATTTAACATGTTTTTTTCAGGAAAACGGGTGATTTTCCAACTTTTATGTGGGTTTTCTGGAGAGTAGAAGCATCACGTGAAAACTTGTTGTTTTTTTTCCGGAACCCCTTTTCATGAGACGCCAAGTTGCATAAGCTTCCTATGCACTTCCCTTACATGAGAAAAGAATCAAGAAAGCCACGATGAGCCCGGCGTAGTTGCATCCAACATATTTGTGCAAGTGCAAGTTGAGCCTATGTTTTCTTTGCTAATCACCCATAATGCCATAAACGTTATTCAACTATATCCAGCGTTTGATTGTTTATAATACCCATCATAGCTGGGATCCATGCATAGGACATATTACATAATTATTGTTTAGAAACTGTCCATGTTTGCTTTTCCTAGATATCTCCCAGAATTGGTTTCCGGTGAAAGAACAAAACCGGGAAACTTATGTTGGCTGGAAAATCAATGGTAAAGACTCTATAACCAGGGTTATAATATCACCATAAATACATCTCCAATAATCATAGCCACTGGTGCCATATTATATGGATCCTTTTGTGGGTTTCTTCAAAATAGGCCTACCCGAAACACCAGGGTTCGGGCAGGTCTTCGTGCTGATCGTCTCCTTGATCTCTGGGCTCTTTCTTCCGCAGACCCTTGGGATCGCATCAAAGAGTGGCAAAACTCGCCTGCTGTGAAGCAATTCACATTGGATTTCATTGGAAAATATCAGAAACTCCACTACTATAGGGATGCCTTCCATTTATAGATGATTTCCCCCTTAAGCCATATTTGCATAGATTCACATATGTTTATCTCATATATCTTTCAGCGTTGCCATGTTTTCAACCTTGTCCTATTTAATATTTGATGGTTTCTGTCGGTTTTTAGTTGTGTTGGCTAATGCCATAAACGCATGTAGATACGGTATATCAGCTTTTTAAATGAGTGGAGCAACCGAAGTAACTGAACAAAAATAAGAAAACATCAAAAAAAAACAATTCTTTGGAAACAGCCACCATTATTTACCATCAGATCCAACACTTCATTCCTTGTTTGACAAACATCTCCTCGCATCTCCAGTTGTCATGGTGGTCTCTTGGCTTAATTTGAGCTGCGCTACGCCGCTACAGTGGCTGGCCGGATAGTTTTTCTTGCCCTGACTTCTGCTGGGTTTTCCTTCATCTATATCGATTACCAGTAATGGGTGGTCCACAAAGCAGCCCCAATTTCTGGTTTCGATGATCACTGGGGAATCAGCCTTCGGGATCTTCATGATATGCCATCCCTTTCTCCATGGCGAAACATTGGGAGGTACTTGGAAGTGCAGTTCCATACGTGAATCCATGAATAGTTCTAGTTCCATAAGTGGATATAACTATATAGTCTCTTAATATGTCTTATATGGTTATGGAGGTTATATCAAGTTCTGAGGATATAATCATATTCTATAGTCTTATAACTTAAGTGGATATAACTATAACCTGGTTGGTGGTTTCAAACATTTTTGATGTTCCATAATATATGGGATAATCCTTCCCATTGACGAACTCATATGTTTCATAAGATGGTTATTGCACCACCAACCAGAATAATAATGGTGCTTTATTAAGTATAATAATGGTTATAGTACCCTCTGGTAAACTAACATAACTATGGAAAATCACCAAAATTTTAGTGGTGATATAACATGATATAACTATATAGTCCATAAATAGGCCTTGAATCCCAACTTCTGGGGGCCAGGATGGACACCTGGGCTCACCTCGGCGGCGCCGTGGCCGGCTTCGCCGTCTGCGCGGCGCGGCCGGCGGAGGCGCGGCTCGGGCGCCTAGGGCGGCTGGCGCGGCTGGTGGCGCTGCTGGTGGGGCTGGGAGGCGTGGGGAGGTGGTCACGGTCACTGGAGCAATGTAGAACTAGTGATTCACTAAGAGTTGATTCATTAATAATCTTAGGGATTATTCTCAGAAATTACTAAGAATCACTAAGAATCACATAATGAAAGTCATGTGGAAATCATGTGGAAATCACTGATCATCACTGGTATGATTTCCATAAATTGGCCATGATTAGTGGTTTTTCATGATCACTGATGATCACTGATGATCTTAGTGAATGGTGATTATCAGTGGTATAATGGCCATCCTCTGATAATCAGGAATGAAAGTGTGACCAGGGATAGGAACCTTGCAGTATTAGATAAATAGATAATTATATAATTATATATATAATATATATGACTGAATAACTACATATAGTATCATATAATTGTATAATTAATCAGTGGCCATTTCAGGAACCTAAATAGAGGTACCTACCATTTTTTAAGGGTCTCTTTCAAGGGGAAGATACCCCCCAATTTCTATGGCTTGATATGGTACAGTACCTCCAGTTTAATTACGCCATTGATAGAATCGGGTACCCCCGAATCATCCAAGCCATGGTGCCATGGTGGCTTGGGGATCCCTGAGTTTAGGACCCCCATTGAATAGCATTTTGCCCCTGGATTTTGCATGGAAAACCAGGGGTGTTGTGAAAGGCAGGTGATTTTTATTGATTTTATGGACTTTCTACCCGGGGGTTCGAAGCAGATTGGACTAGAATGGAAGGGAAAATCAGGGAAGGACTGTCAAAATTTGATCGAGGATTAAAAACAATTGTTGTATTCAGTGAAGGCTGTTCCAGCTTTGAACGCCTGAATTTTCCGTTGAAAATTATGAAACAACACATCATTGTTTCTGTGATGATCAGGCGGCGGGGCAACTTGCATTAGTTGCCCAAAACATAGGGCACCCAAAACAGCCATGGCCCGTGATTTCTCCCCCTTCAATGATACACACGCCCAAGTCACTGGGGGACTCTTCCGCTGCGAGGCGCCAGTCTGTGTATTTATCTTCTCACTTGCTCATCTTGCTACCAGCCACCTGGTCAGATTGCAGAGCTTCTGATGTGACCAACGGCTGGACAACGACGTGCGCTAGCGGAACGTGCTGCATGGTGCTGCTGGGGCTTCAGGAACTGGTATAGGGTGGTATAGGGTGGTGTCATAGTTAGAAGGAAAATTCTCCTGCGAACAGCCTGGATCAAGCTCCAGGCTTCGATTTTGCAGGGAAGGTTGCAAAATTTAGGAGTGTGTCATGTTGACATCACTGAATGACTTGTTGTGTGCGTTCTGGTCCGACCTCGCGCGACGAAGTGCACGGCCTGCCATGAAGGCCCCACCACTGTGACGCCAGCCGTGCGATGCCCAACAGATTGGATCAAAAAGTTTGCCACGTCGCTGGTTGGTGTTCGTCGGACCCGGCGTTGTCCAGCTGGTTTTAGAGGGGCCTTTTTGTTGATGTTTTCTTGATGACAATGACAAACACATAGTGACATAGTGGTTGAAAGGACTAAGAACATCTAAGAACCACAAGTCTTGCAAAAGCCAGCTCGCTTTGTGCTGAATGAGGTTGTGCACAAAAATCAACACTGATGCATATCTTACCCTCTGTTGATGGAATGGAATTGTGCTGTTCAAGAAGTTCAATGTGGCATTGGCATAGACCAACATTGAACTCAAAGCATCCTTGCAAACTTTGCCTGCCTTATTTGTTGTCTCACCTCCTGCGCCACACTCCACTTTTGCATTGCGCGATGGAATATTTAAAAAACTGTCAATTTGGCACCATGGCTGTGTCATATCAACGCTAGGTTAGTAAACCCCCGACTATTCATTCTTATATCATTGGAGGTAGTTACCCCCAAAAAAGTGAAATCAATGGCTATCAAAATTGGCACCCCCCTATTGATATACTGGAGGTTTATTCTCCTGGGGTAATACTCATCCAAGGTATTTTACTCCACCCAGTACATCAGGTGGGGCGGGTGGCATTTGTGTCTCGCTGGGGTTGGGATTGGCACCCCAAAAGATGGAATACAGGAACCAAGAAAACCAAATATAGTATTACTCTCTGGTTATGACTAACATAGCCATGGTATAGATGGCCCATAGAAATAGATGGCTTACCGTTCTTAAAAATGGTGATTTTCCATGGCTATGTTAAATAACCAGATGGTAGATTTATTGATTTGAATTTGATGATACCACCATTCAACCAGGATTTTGCTACACCGCTACACCGCGATTTTCGCGCAATTCCCGAAGTTTGATCCACTCCCATCTTGGTTTCCGCTACTGAGGAAGGCAACGCCTTTGTTTTGAATGAAGGACCCCCAGCTGTTGGAAAGACCACCCTGGGTTTGGAACCCACCAAGCAGAGATAGAGTGATGGCTGGAGTGCGCTCACAGAATTCGCAAATATTAGCAAAAATGAATATCCCAGGAAACCATGGTTGCCCCCTTTTGACCCATCGCTGTCTCGGAATGCCGGGAAATATGTACAGGCACCGGGGTTAAAAATCTAATCTGTGTTTTTTTGTGGTTGGATAGTGAACTTCTTGGTGGTTGAGTGTGTCTTTGTCCCATCAAAAAAGGACAAAAAAGGCAATGTTTCTTCGAGGAGTCCTGCTATGACATCATTCAGTGGGCAGATACACCAGCACCAGGCATCACGGAAATCCTTTCTACACCCCAGAGCCAGATGTCGCTTGCCACAGATTCCGGGATCTGAAGGTTGGCTTGGTCAGTGGGAGACTTGGTGCTTATCAACCAGATGTTTACATGTAGATCGTCAGTTCATGGGAATTACCATCTGGTTGTGACGTTCACAGTTCGCCATGGAAAGATCCACCATTTTTAAGAACGGTAAACCATCTATTTCTATGGGTCATTTCCAATAGTACCCAACAGAATTATCCACCTATCAATGGATTGGTTTAAGGAGAAATCTTCCCATTAAGATCATGTTAAATAACCAGAGGTTAATTCGATTTCTCCCACGAAAAGTCATTTGGCCAGTGGATGAACAAAGCGCCAAGGTCAAATTCTAGCTGAATCGTCAAACAAGTCTTCAAGTTCACACTAAAAAGTCATAAAGAATGCCTACTGGCCTACTGTACATATATATATATAATATAATATATATATATATATATAAATCTATAATGATCTATATAGATCTATCTATAATGATCTATGACCTATATCTATAGTCGTAGGCAATATCTACGACTAGCCATGGTGCCATGTCAAGTCGTGATGCCAAAACCTGAGATTTGTCACGAGCTTCTGGGTCATGTGCCGCTCTTTGCCAACTCGGCCTTCGCGGATTTTTCCCAAGAGATCGGTCCGGCCCCTAGGAGATCGATTTGGGAGTTGGGGTGGTGGGATGGTTTTCTTTTGAGGATCAAACAAAAATCCGAAACATAGACATAACCCAGATGCTCCATGTAGGGCATGTTTCCTTGCAAAACTGGTTGATTTGTGAGGAACACGGTGATACATATTCATCATATTCCATGGTGCATATGGGATATATTAGGGTAATCAAGGATATCAAGGCTGGCCCTGCTTGGTGACATCCCCCTGTTGGTTGATTCGACCATGGTTTGTCTGGTGAATCCATTTGTTGGTGCGGTGTAAGTCCCTGAAGAATATGGGTGAACGTCCCATCCTTGTTGGTGAACTTCACCCCTGAACTTTTTTAGATTCTAAGTCCCATTGCAAATAGAAAGCAACAGGATGAATGTCTATTGTCCTATTGTCCTATTCTAGATTTTAAATCAAGACAACATCAAGCAATGAGCAATCAAAAAACCCTAACCTTGCACATACCACTGCCAGAATCCCTGGTTACATACCTGTGGCCTGTGGCAAATAATTATGGATGATTTTTTGGTTGGGGTGTGGGGACCTATCTTTTTGTGATACACAGGACTAAATCTCACCACGGTTTCTGGCGATGTTTGGGGTTTAATGTGTGTTGTTATCTCACATGTAAGAAGTTAGAATGTGGTTCTTTTTTGCAAACATTAGCGCGGATTTGGGTGTACCCGATGTTCATGTATCCCCATGCAATCTGAATCAATCTGAAGTTTATGGGGAGACGGAAAGGAAACCTCTAAATTTCGAGGTAAACATGTTCCATTGAAAAACCCTGAGCCGATCCTTGAACTCCACCAAAAGCTGACCGAAGAAGAATCAAATAGCATGCTTTCTAAGGGCTTCTGAATCAACCACCTGGTGGTTGAATCCCATGGGTGACCTGGAGAGATGAAGTATAGATATATCAATATTGTATGTATATATAATATATTCTATATTATATATTATTTATAGTTATATATATTATATCTACCTTAAACCATAGATTTCACCGAGTTTCCCTTGGTCCACCAGGTCTAGCCTCCCTGGCCGCCACCGATGAAGACGTGGCCAAGCTGGCGGCGGTCTATTGGTTCACCGTGGAGTGCCTTCGGCGGCCGCTTCAGCGGCCTAAAGGTCGCGGTTTCGGAGGGGTTGAACCTGGAGAATTGGCTGAAAATTCACCAGGATAACCAGGGTAATAGATGATTCAATACATGGAATATACCAATGATGATATGTATATATATATATATATAAAACTCAGGAAATACCAATGAACCCCATTTTTCACCACCTGACTGTCGCCAAGTCCTCCAATCCCATTTTTCATCGTTGGTCCAAGGTTCGGCCTCCTCCGGGAAGGTGCCGTTGGGTCGCATGGAAAAGATGGGTTTCCTTGAAAAATTGAGGGAAAACCGCCCCAAATTTGATGGTTGATGATAGTTTATGATCATGTTCCATGTGTTTTTAATTTGTAATCTGATGGATATCACCCATGTTCAGATACACCCATATGATACCGGGAAAGTATGGGGATTACTCGGCAAAACGGCTGAGAATGAGAGAAAAACATGTCAGGTTTAATCGGGTTTGCTGAGTGAATTTATGGAGCATCTTCCCGAGTGAGACCAATCCATTTCCTTTACCACCTATCATGCACCTCAATCTCAACACTTTATCCCCAAATTATGAACAATTGCCACTAATCATTTATCAAGCTTGCTTGCCTTTACTTGAATATCATTACCCGTGTTTCAACAGTATTGTGTTCGCATTGTCCACGGATTATTTCCACTCGAGCCAGCTATCCATGTAGATCATATAGTTGCTAGCATTTTGAACTTGTATTTTATCCGTCATGTCTTATTATGTCTTAATGTGGTGCCTTACAGTTAGCTAAATTGGTTCACAACTTGTATACCGCTGTATACCTATAGAGTTTATGGTAGATACTGCGGGGGTACACCATATTGATCCATAAAATATTGCATTAAGAAACCATTTCTCCAGTTCCAAAAATCTCCCAGTTCCCCCTTGCGCCCTCGTTGCCCTTGTTCAGGGGAGGACGTGAAGGCGTGAAGGCCTTTGGTGCCGGAGTACTCAGTTCTTTTGGAGAGATGGAATGGGCATGTTCGCCTTCTCCCTCCCAGGTGCCAAGTGGGGCTTAGGTGGCTTAGGCGGCTTGGGGGTGGCTGTGTGGATTGTTCTTTTTTGTTGCCCTTTAAGAACAACAAAAAGGTTGGGAGGTTGGTGCTTGGACTGGATTTTTGTTTCTTCCTTTTAAAGCACAATCAAAAAAAGAAGTTGAAGCAACCGGTCAGCTTCTTTGCTGGACTCGCACGTGTTGAAATTTCAGTTTACAGCCCTCCAACTTCCGCCTGAGGGCGATTAAAATTGGACAAAGCTGCGGTTATTTCGAAAAGACTTCAGCAAATGTTTCCCACAGCGAACCAACGTTTTGAAACCACCTGATCGTGGTTTCAACACGTTTCAACTGGGCAAACCTTGGAATTGAGATTTGATGGGAAAAATGGTGTGCTATCACCATTCAGGGATCCTCCTGAGTACCTCCTATAGTTCCAACCAAAAATCAACGTTGGGAGCCAGGAGTGCCGCGACATGGGCAGCATGAAGGATCAACTGAACCCTGTCCTTCGTCCTCTGGATCCCTGGGAGGCGAGGTGGGCATTCTCGTCGCCAATGATCAGAATTGTAAAGGCCATTTATGGGAACCCTAACCAATCAACCAGGGGTTGTTAAGTTGGGGGAATGAAACAGGCTGGACATGGGCGCAGGTCTCAAGTCATCGTGAAATTTCCGCGAAAATTCCCCTGGGAATGTAACCATCCCCTAAATCACCATATATATATTAATATATTATTTTACCAACAATATATATAATTACACAATGTTACATATGATGTTTTTAAAGAACATTGCAAAGTAACAGCACCCAATATTAGAACACAAGTTGGGAGTCAAACATGTTCATTTGCTTCTTTGGGATGATGGTGAGTTTGTCTTGTAACCACCCAGCAGTGGTTTGTACCGGGGTGAAACTCACCCGGCCAACTCAAAGGCGGCCAAGCAAGACTATCCGCTGCTTGGGCGCGCTTAGGGAGCGGTGCTACATCGATACTGGGGAAACCATCAAACGTTACCTTTAAATAGGTTTGGGATTGTTTGGGATATATGTTAAATATTTTAATTGTTTACTGTAAGTTTCCTTATTGAGTTGCAGATGTGGCTACCAAAGAGGGGTCCTAGGACCCCCACCCCAAACAAAAGTCTTCGTTCAGGCCTCAGGCTACAGAAAAATCAAGTTCAGGTTGGTGATTTTTCTTCATTGGCGGAGGCCCATGGAATCTTCAGTTGTTGTTTGTTCGGTTGAAATTGGCCAGATTTTCTTCACATGGGACGTCACGAGGACGACAAAACCCTGTGGTTCATTGGGGAGCATCATTGTCTCCAAAAGGCAAAGAAGCAGTGTGGTTCAAATGAAAAGAGATCCGGAGCCTGCCAATTGTGTATCAATTTGTCAATATATTCAATATTCTTGTGTTTGATGTGTGTGGACCCACATCAAATATCGTATTATACCTCCATTTGTCGTGCCAACCCATATCCATTGTATCTATATACATACATAACATTACAGTACATAACATTACATTGCATTGCATTATATACATTGCATTGCATTACATTACATACATAAACATACATAAATTCATAAATACATAAATACATAGATACACAAATACACACATACATAAATACATAAATACATAGATACACAAATACACACATACAAAAATACATAAATACATAAATACACACACACATACATAAATACATAATTACATAAATACATAAATACACACACACATACATAAATACACACACATACATAAATACATGCATACATAACATTACATTACAATACGGTAGATTACAGTTCATTACATTACATTTCATTACACTGCATTGCATTGCATTCCATTGCATTATATTACACTACCTACATACATACATACATACATACATAATCATACATAATCAAACATAATCATACATAATCATACATAATCATACATAATCATACATAATCATACATACATATTCATACATACATAATCATACATACATAATAATACATACATAATCATACATGCATAATCATGCATACATAATCATACATACATAATCATACATACATAATCATGCATACATAATCATACATACATATTCATACATACAGAATCATACATACATAATAATATATACATAATCATACATACATAATCATGCATACATAATCATACATACATAATCATTAATACATAACATACATACATAATCATTCATACATACATACATACAGACAGACATACATACATACCTACCTACATACCTACCTACATACCTACCTACATACCTACCTACCTACCTACGTACGCCCACATACATAAATACATAAATACATAAATACATAAATACATGAATACATACATATACATACATATACATACATATACATACATATACATACATATACATACATATACATACATATACATACATATACATACATATACATACATATACATACATAAACATACATATACATACATATACATACATATACATACATATACATACATATACATACATATACATACATATACATACATATACATACATATACATACATACATCCACATACATACATACATACATACAGACATGATGATATATGCACCCGTTTTTTTTATCATTCTGTATTAATGCAATACCTGTACTATTGGTTAAACCTGGTTCTCAATGAAAAGCGGATGGTGAAAAACCACCGGAGCCTCGAGGATCACCACCTATCAACCGGTGATGTTTGTGGCCAACAGTTTGGAGGTGCCTTTGATGTTTTATCATTTGCATACATTTTGATTGCTGTATGTATATATGTTTATGCATATAAAGAAATTTTTATGTTTATGTATACAAAGAAATTTACAGTATATAAGTTATATATATATATAACTATATATAGATTATATACGTGCATCTTGATGCTTGAATTCCTGTTTCTACCGGGTAAAACACCGCAGTCTGGCCGTCTGAGATGGAGCGGTGAAATTTGAGGTCGTCAATGTTGGCCGACCTCAACCATTGTGGGTAAAACAATGTCATAAACCACCCATTGGGGAATGGTAAGCATACCACCTTTAAAAATGGTGATGACTGGGGGATCCGCATTTTTTCAGTTCCACATCTTCATCGGAAAAAATGGTGTTCTAACTTAGCTAAGGGGAGATTGAAATATGTGGAAAATCCGGTAAATTCTAAGAAAATGGATGGACAATGACATGCCTATTTAGTTTAAGGGTTTACCAATTAAACATGGTCATTTTATCCATAGCTATGTTAGATAATTATGTTAGATTATCAGAGGTAAATCAGTTGCCAAAAATATTGATATTTCGGGGTGGCAGTGGTAAAGTGAAATGTATAACCAACAACTCGGATTTGCCGATTCGGTGGCCACAGAAGCACAAGAAATATCTTTAACTATGTTCATTAGATTCCCAATTTATGGCGGATAAACCTATGGGAAAATACAATTTAGGTTCATACAATGTTCATTAGATTCCCATAGGTTTCCCACAATGTTGGATTATCGGAGGGTGTATGATTCCAACAAGTTTTTCAGCCAATTTAGGTTCATACACCCTCCGATAATCCAACATGGGAAGGGACAAAACCACCATTTGGGCTTATCGACACATGGTGATTGGACTGCCGGAGGGTGCCGTCAGGGTTGTACCTACTGGGATCCATACTATGTGAAAGCTAAAATCAAATCTCCATATTTTGGTTGGTGGTTTGGAACATGAATTTTATTTTTCCATATATTGGGAATAGTAACCCCAACTGACTTTCATATTCAGAGGGGTGGCTCAACCACCAACCAGTTTTGGTTGGTCAAAAACTGCCATTTTGCCTTGGTCCACCATGGTCCGAAGTCGCTGCAGGACGCCGAGTCCCGCATCGCCCAGTTCTGCGACTCGCTGACCCGGCCCTTCTTTCCACAATACGCCACTGGGCCAATACCACCAAGAAAGGGTGAAGGATCCAACCCTTATTCCATGTTATTACCCAAGAGATCCCAACCACCATTCACCATTCAGAAAATGGAGTAATTTTATCATTAAATCCCAACAACATTCAGAAAAAGATGATGTTATAATCCCATCCCCCGTATTATTAAACACCCCCATTCTATGGGACTATGTGGAAAATCCCCTGGGGGAATCATCGTTCAGGACCCGTTGACGCAGACCATCCGCGTGACCAAAGCCATCCAACGCGCAGAGCGGCACTCCACGGTGGAGCTGCAACGCCAGAAACAGCACCTGGGAACCCAAAAAATGTGTGGCCTCAGGGGATGAACTCCGCCGTTGAAGACTGCTACTGCTGGGCTTTGAATTTTTGTACCTGTAAAGTATTCAAAGCCGTTGATTAAGAATCATGTTCTTCATTCAAATGCCATCAAATGGGGGGTAGACCCCATTTGCAGATACATGCTTAGATAGATGGGACTTTGTTTCAGTTATTTGATGACGTGTTTTTAAATGAGAATATTGATGGATTTGTAGAGGGCATGTATGGGACCTAGATGGGAATGGGATTTTATGGATTCTAGTGGGAGTTTTGTGGAACACTCACATATTTGGATTTCATGGGAATGTCATGGGATTTTTTTGAATCTTACTGGAAGTTGTACTTTTTATAACTTGGGATAGTCGCATCTCCCTAATATTGAATACCTCCCGATATGGGCCCCACAACTTAAAATGAATAGATTCAATATTATCCAAGGCTTAATTAAGCATTGTTTCCCTTCAGGTGTATTGAACATTGGGGGCATGGAATTTGCAAAGCAAACATGAGGGAATCAGGGAATCTCTGAAAATTATGCTGCCGTTTTTGAACAAAACTATCGATCTAAAATGATCTAAAGATGTCCATGGGAATCCCAGGGATGCTTTTCGTATCTCAGAAAATCTGGGGATGTTCATCAGATGTTCCCTGCAAAAAATGCTGGGAACCCAATTGGACAACCATGAGTGGGTATGATGGCATTATTACTGCAGTATTTGGGATATATCAACCCCAATAATCAATCACTGGTTGGTGGTTTGGAACATGTTTTATTTTCCATAATATATGGGATAGTTTTTCCCATTGACCAATAGTTTTCAATTTCAAGATGGTTAAAACCACCAACCAGATCATATCACCTTTAGAATCCACAAATTGACCCAGTCTGTTTTTTTCTTGATGAAATCATATTGATATATTGGCCATAAAGTTTCACAACCAGTCTGATCAATGGAGGATCCCATGAGGATCAACAACCATGGCCATTACCCTCTGGTAATTTGTTACATAGCTATTGAAAATGGTGATTTATAGTGGGTTTTCCCATTGAAAATGATGATTTTCCATAGCTCATAATAAGTTCACCAGGAAGTATATAGATGTTCCAATAAACCCATCAGGGACATCCATCACGGGATTGCCTTGGTTGGGTGGTTTGCTTTCCATCCCTACACATGGAAAAAGCCAAATTGCCCAGCCCAAAACAGACGTTTATGCGAAGTTAGCCATGCAACTATTCCCATATATGTGGGTGGTTACAATTATTCCTCAATAATTATATAGATTGGTTTAACACTGGGTTATCCGCGTGTCTTTTTTTGAAGAACTTGATGTGATGATTCTTGTCCTGTCCGGCACCACTTCCGAAAGACGGCCCAGGATGCAATTCTTCGAAAAGACCGCCACTGGGCCTAGCAGCCACAGCTAGTCCTCCTGTTAAGCCCAGTCTTTTTGGGCTCTGGAAAGTCGTGTTCTGAACGTGGAACAGAGCAGTTAGTTTGGTTCTATGATGTTCTATGATGTTCTATGATGTTCTATGAATGTGAATTTCAGGGGTATGGTATATACACTACCGAAGGGATTTATGTCAAAGAACTTTAAAGAACTGAGGATGCCTCACATTTGAAATTTGTGACCTTGGTGTATTCCTCCTTTGTTCCGGAAAGATTGGGCCAGGGTCATGTTTGGGAAAGGGTTCGTTGCGTAGGTTGGACGCCTACTTCTTGGATAGATATGGAGAAGTACACTTTTGTACATATATATATATGTATACATTGAGAGAGCGAGAGAGAGATATACATATATGGTCATAACATGAACGGACGATTGACAGTGCAATTACTGTGCACATAGCTACAAGTCCATTCGAAAAGAATATACTGTAAGATTGGTAAGATTAGTATAAGATTAGTAGCTCTATGATATATATATATATATATACACATATGAACATCACTTCTTGTAGATTATTATATATCACAACACATATAAAGTTCTGAGATAGGTAACATATGGTAACATATGTGTTCCTTTTTTCCACAATTCGCATCTCTGAAACATCTAAGGCCCCGGTGAACAACAACACCAGCACGGTTGAGTCCTGTACAGTAGCTGACGGATTGGTCCAGTGAGCTGAGCAAGGATGAGTTCGTTGAGCGAAACAAGTGCTGTGTTTGGGATACCTACATTGCTTGGGGCGATGGTTCAATCTACTTATCTATGTTTTTTTAAATGAAAATTGAATTTGAGTTATTTATTATTTTGATCGGAAGTTTGCCAGGGTTTTGACCCATCATGTTGATATATTAATTTGTGTTTGCTCCATAGGAGAGATATCTAGTAACCACCAAATCTACCCCTAGCATGGCATGAATGTATCTAACTCTGCCATAGTGGCTAAGGAATTACCATCAACAACCAGTGATAGATACCAGGCACTCATTTGACCTCCCCGATGCTCAATTTTTCCCACATTACCTACATGTAAAAGAAAACGGTTGAAATAAACATTGATAAATCTCTCATACATAGAGCAAATGGACATCAGAGATGGGCGTCAGCGTCACATCCTTACTCTGCTACCCCGTTGGCATCGTTGCCGCGGCGGGTTTGAAAGCTGCGGCGGTCTCCTGGGAATGGCGTCAAGCGGCGACACAGAGAGACCCAGCCGTTTGGGTTGCCACCGACTGTCCACAGAAACCAGGGAATTGTTTGCCCTAAAATGCTTAGGTGAAGACATATGGGCTTTGCGCAACCTATATGTGTATATGTAATGGAATGGAATGTAATGCAATGTCATGTGCTGACATGTAATGTAATGTCATGCAATGCAATGTAACGCAGCGTAGCGTAACGTAATGTAGTGCAATGTAACGTAGCGTAACGTAATTAGTATAGTGTAGTGTAATGTAATGCAACATAATGTAGTTAGTGAAACACAATGTATGTATACGTAGATGTATGTATGCAACCATGATTTGTGTATGTGTTCATCATAGTATATGCAGCTAAGTGTGACAGTTTTATGGGGATTCCTGTACGATACTGTAAGAGTCGTGAAAAATATGCACAACTCTGTTTGGACATGGAAAATGAATAGGCCAGCCTGGTCTGCAAATCAGTTTGCAGCCAGCCTGCTAGTTTTTCTATGTTTATATACAGTATAAGATTTCAATTTTTATATGCTAATCCCAGATTGACATGCATGTATGATGTATTTTTATATCTGTCAAAATATCACTGCATCCAGGCACATGGCCGCCATGGCTTCTCTCAAGAAATGGTGCCATCATCCTTGAGCCATCCCCGTGGGACGGACTTTTGCTGAATTCGTGCTGGTGTGCCTCGATTGCGGTCCTGGAAGCGAAGTCGCGGCGCCAGGGGCGGGTCCTGGTTCGGAAAGCTCAGAGAAAATACCCTCTGGAAAACTCTGGTAAACTAACATAGCTATGGAAAATCACCATTTTGAATTGGTAAATCGACTATTTCTATGGCCATTTTCAATAGCTATGTTGACATAACCAGAGGGTACTCCACGAGAAGAGAATCTGCCATCTCGCGGCGCTCAAACGATTTGATCATATGATCCCCCTGGTTTGACGCACTGAATGGATGAATTCGGTCACCTTTACAAAATGGAAAAGCCATAGCCGTTTCATAAAAGGCTCAGGATGGGATACTGAGGATACTGAGGAAAATGCCAGTAAATCAGGGTAAAGACTCGTACCCTCCAAAATATGTTTAAAAAGATGGGCCCGGTTTGCCAGGTAGTACACAAGCATACAAAAGCCATGTTTCATTATGTACAAGCCATGAAAGTATCCATTTTATACACATACACCCGCACCCAACTATTCCATAGCAGCTATTTTTTGTTTATATAAAATGGAAGCGTGCGACATCCTACCCTTCAATCAAGGGGGATATCATATGTCTCTGATCATATGTGTGGAAATATGTAGGCATGCAAACACTCATACAATCACATTCAGTAAGTACTCATGTAGGTATATCAGGTATATCCAGTATATCGATCATATGTACTGTACATATCTCTATATGTACATATGTAGTACATGTCCACACACATGTATATACAATTCCTCACAAACAGATAGAAAGAACACTCGTACTAAGATAGTGACAAATGACTTTTCTCCTTCTCTTTCTATATGTAAATAATGTAAACAGATATACACACATATCTATATATATATATAACATATATATATACAGTATATACATATAAATATACACATATATATATATATATGTGTGTATTTTGTTTTTGTTGAGTGTTTGCTACTACGTACATGCGCGTATCCCTTGGGACCTGCCATGGCCAGAGGATGGCGCTTCAACGAGATACCAGTCTTCGGCCTGTCACTTGGGCGTGTCCCGCCATGGGGCCATTTGGGCCTTGTTGCTGTTGGATTCTGACGACAGGAGGCACACAAAAAGTGCCATGAGGCAAAGCCAATAGTGCCACCATCCCCAATTGGGTATACCCCTTTTTTGGGGATGATGTAAAGGAGTCAAATGGGCCTGGATGGTTGGTGACATGGTTTCGTGGTTTCGTTGTGATGTGCATGTCAGTTTCCTGAGATAGTGATGTAGCAGACCTTGAAAGCGGAGCTGCGAAGCTTTTGGCTTCTCACCATCTCAGTTTGTATCTTCCCCCAAACTGCCATGTTGGTGTCCAAGAGTAATTATGGTTTGTAGACCCAAGTTTTTCCGTTTGCTTGGCAAAATGATTGGGTATTCGAATTGTTCGAGTCAGTTTCGCGTCGCGAGATTCAGAAACCAGCAGACAACATTCACTCCCCCAACTCTTCCGTATGGCACCCACAGTGGCGCCGCCATGCGCGGGGGTTCATGACTGGCGCGGGAAAGAGATGGACGGAGCATCAGTTGGGTCAAGCCGCTTTGGTGCTGTGATTCGGTGAGCCACTTTTGAAAGATGTTGAAAGAACGGCCATTCATTGGATTGGTTTAAGGGAAAATTTACAGGAAACCCATAGAAACCCCTATATTTCATGGTTTCCTGTAAATTTTCCCTTAAACCAATCCAATGATACATGGATTCGGATGATTTCGGTCAATCCTCGGCCTATTTATCCTATCTATGCTAGTCATCTCCCCACTGCCACACGAGAATCCTTTTTTTCGACGGCAGCCATGAGGTTGATTGCCCTGCAAGCAGATCCCAATGTGACTGATCAGCAAGGTGCGATCGCCATTGCCGTCATTGCCCTGAGGACATACCATCATCCTTTGGTAATCTAGCATAGGGATGGAAAATGGCCATGTTTACCAAGTAAATAATCTAGACAAGTAGCAGGTAATTGATAATTACCATCGCAAGCTGTGAAAAGAGGGATCAAGAGGGCAGAACTGACTAAGTAGGTATGCCCCGCATAAGAGAAGGGGTTCGGAGCACAATTTTGATTGACATGATTGATGTTCCTTTTAACTACTAATAGCTAAAAGCTTGAACATCTTGGAACTCGATCCCCAAAAAAAACATTGACGTTTAACAAGTTAGTCCATAACTAACATAGATATGTTCACTGGGCATATTCCCATGGTAATTTTGACAATCCCCTTGGATGCAACAAAGGATCCCTGTAGAGATGCATTTTGTTTGCGCATATTAATAATGTCATTTCATCTTGTACAACGGACTCATCATGAAGAAGCCTCAGAAAACCGTATCATTTTGCTATGTTCCATAGCACCCACATATATATATATACAAATTATAAATTATATATATATATATACATATTTATAATATGCATATTTATTTAGTTATTTATACATACATGTAACTTTTACCTGGTATATTTGTTGTATATTTAGTAACTAAGTAATCCCATCCCCCCAATATTGAACATCCCCATTCTATGGTCCCAATTATGTGGAAATGTCCGACATCCACCATGGTTTCCTAGGAGGTGTTTAATATGAAGAAGGGATAAAATTGGATTAGTTCGATGATTTTCCCATGGAAATAGTGAATACTTATCACATCTTATCACATGTCTAGCACATTGATAGATATTTATAGATGATTCTCCCAGCTATAAACCTTTATAAACCACTGAAATGTGGATTTTTTGAAAGCGCAGGTTTGACACCTCTGATGCTGGCTGCCTCCGCTGGGGACCTTTGCTCGGTGGCAAATTTGGTGGAGGCCTCTGGGTTTCGGATGGATTCGGATGGGCCATGGCGGCCATGTGTTGATGGATGATATGGGAATTGTATGGGATATGCATCACCATATTAATCCAGACCATACAATGTCATACAATAATGATTTTGTGCATATCCCATAGTAAGGACCATTTCATAAGGACCATAATGACCATTGTTACTTTTGGCATCACCATGTTTTGGATGGATTTTTGATGGGTGCCCCATGGTTGGAAACTATCTTCCAAGCCCTGCCAGGGTCGAACTGTTAAACTGTTAATTCATTGCAGGGTACTTTACCCCATAATAATTTGGTACCTTTACCCCCATTTTTGAAGGGTGCTTGGAGGGCCTAAGTGAATGTTATCAAAGGAAGTTTAGGGGGAGAAACTTCCGTGTTACGGACTTTTAGAATGTCAGGGAAAGAGTTAGTCAGGGAAAGAGTTAGTCAAAGAAAGAGTTAGTGAGGGAAAGAGTTAGTCACAGAAAGAGTTAGCAAAGAAAGAGTTCGTCAGGGAAAGAGTTAGTCAAAGAAAGAGTTAGTCAAAGAAACAGTTAGTCAGGGAAAGAGTTAGTCAAAGAAAGAGTTAGTGAGGGAAAGAGTTAGTCAAAAAAAGAGTTAGCAAAGAAACAGTTAGTCAGGGAAAGAGTTAGTCAAAGAAAGAGTTAGGGAAAGAGTTAGTCAAAGAAAGAGTTAGTCAAAGAAACAGTTAGTCAGGGAAAGAGTTAGTCAAAGAAAGAGTTAGTGAGGGAAAGAGTTAGTCAAAGAAAGAGTTAGCAAAGAAAGAGTTAGTCAGAAAGAGTTAGTCAAAGAAAGAGTTAGGGAAAGAGTTAGTCAAAGAAAGAGTTAGTCAAAGAAACAGGGAAAGAGTTAGTCAAAGAAAGAGTTAGCAAAGAAACAGTTAGTCAAAGAAAGAGTTAGCAAAGAAAGAGTTCG